CATAGGGAGCGTCCTTTGCGAAGAATGCCCCACCTCATCTGATTGGCCTAATGAGCCTGGCTCCAGAACCATTGGAAGCCGGACGAGCTCTGCATTCCTAGCCTGTACATCTGCTCCCTCACCCTGGGATCGAGTGTTCACCATCAGAGGATTGCTACTGGAAGAAATACATTTGTTCCCATAGACGGCGCCAAATTGCACGGGATGATTCCTGCAATCGTGTGAGGCGGCGATCTCCTAAATGGCGAACTTGGAACAACAGGGTCAGAAAAAAGGGGGTCAGGCGTGTGCCCGGCTAATCCCCTCCGAAGCTTAAGTCAGTAAAAGATCGAAGGGTTTTGTTTAATGGACTTTTTCTGATTTTAGTTTGCGTACTTTTGTCCATTTTTCTGAGGAGTATTTATACCTGAATTAACAATAATTGCCAAAGATCTTCAGTCACATCTGAACATCTTCATATCTGACATACCATCCCTCGTGTAGTGAGTGTTTCGTATTCACGTCTCCTCCTATTGAATGCTAGAAAAATGGGGTAAAAGCTCGGTCATACGCCGAACAATTATGCCCCTCCCCGAATGACCAAATCCATCAGGTCGACATCTGACATCAACCAAGCATTGAATACTCGGTAGAACAGTTCCTCGGGAGATCTGATACGTCGTCTCGGCGCATCAGTCATTAATGCTTAGTCATCATGACAGTAGGCTTAAACTCCCAGAGGACAATTGCTTGCAGGCGCGCATTTATTTGTCTTGTCACTATCACTCATTCCGCCATAAATGTGAGGTCACATCGCATTAAATACGATGTCAGCTGTCGTACTTGGCCGCTCCGTGTCACCATTTCTCGGCATACCACCTCGGCATCCCTTGGTCATCTCAACGATTTCGTTATTTCACGTGTCAACTCAGAGATTGAAGAGCCACACTAGAGTCCCGTCAATTGCTCATTAATAGCAAGCTGAGACAAAACCCTCGCGAAAAGAAACGAAGCAATCCGGTCATTAGAAGACGGGCAATTTAATGATTATTTCCCCTTTGATTGATGACCAAAAGAAGAATATATTAAGGACTAATAACGAAAAATAATTTTACAAACCAAGCAAGTTCGGCCTATCCAACAAGGCCTCAGTACAATTCAAATTCTTCTTATCTGCTGAGAGAATCAGACGATGTCGGCAAATCTTTAAACATCATCGGCCTTGGGAAAATTGCCGGTACGAAGTAATATTAATTCCTCTATTATTACTCCAAGTAAGGGTATAAATAATATTATATTGATCAAATTTTAGAATTAAATAAAAAATTAATTGATAACTAAACACAACAAAATTGTAGAACAAATGTATAAGGAAAGTCAAACAGAAAAAAAAAGAAAACAATCCATCGAGAACAAAACCTATGCCTTCACAACTACTATCCATTCACATGAAAAAATAAACCCCACGATAATTGAAACCAACAAACAAATGAAATACTTTGGCCGCCTACTATTATTTATGGTTTTACTTTTACATACAGATCTGGTCTGAGTTCACGAAAACAAAAAAAAAAAAAAAAAAAAAAAAACAAATGGTTTTCTCAAACCAATTAAATCATAAAGGCGAATTCAGCCATCCTAATGCTTCCAAATTCTCACTTTCACTATATTAACATATGACTTAGCATCTTTTAGAACAATAGTTTTCATCATAGAGATGTTAGTGAGTTGATCATTACAAATGTCTAGACCAAAATGCTCAACAAACACTTGACTGGGTATTCCATTTTGTCACGTCTTTAAGCCACATATTCGTTACAAATTTAATCATTTTTAAATCCCTAACACATTGTAACACCCCCCAGAACAATCCAATCCATCACAATATACCACAAATATATTTTTAAATATAGGGATAAAGTTCTAATTACTTCAGTAAAAATTATAATTACAAATTTGAGCTCCAAAGATCAATAAAACAAGTAATTTCAATTTAGTAAAAATTAAATTGAGATTCATCCATTTCCGATTTCTCCCGTCCTTCCAAATTATCTTGAAAAATATTAAAAGTGAGAAACTATACAATATTATAGGAAAAAATATGTTTAACGATAAAAAAAGAATAAGAATAATCAAATAACAAAGAATTCAATCTATTGACAAATATGAACAAAAGAATCAAGAATCAATTTCAACATATCACATAGCTTAACTATTATTATTTACAGTATCATACTTGGTTCATCTTGGTGACATGTCAAATGACACTTAAGCATATAAATACATACTCATTTTAAACAATTACACCCTACAAGGTTCTAACCAAATTGAACAATGACACCTGTAAGGCCACAACTATTTAGTCTATTCTCAATAATAGTTCTTACATGGACCAATCAATTTCAAAATACTTAGATCAAAACATAAGTCAACTCAACAAAACACATAAGATTTTATAATATTAAAATAACAAATAGAAATACGAACTTTGAGATAAAAAATAGAATATTCTATGCAAAGAGACTTAAAGACAGAAATATATTGTATACTATCCCGTACCTTAAATCACCAAATTTTTTTGATAAATTTGGTCACCACCGTATTATGAATAAGATGTACCAATTTCAGAGTTAACAACTAATTTTGAATCAGAACTTCGTCATTTCTCCTTCCATCTTCTTTTCCATTGTTTTTTCATTAATCTGCAGGCCTTTTGTAGCCAAAATGTGGGGGAGCTTTCTTGGGCACCAAAACACATGTGACTTATATGTTCACAAGAGATTAATTTAAATGAATGCTTGTCAATTCTCATATGCATTCTTAAGAGTACTACTATGGCACCTAAAAGACAAACTTTAATAATATAGAATCATAATTATTTTTTTTTACGAGGAATTTGGAGGCCAGTCCTTAGACCTAATAGGATTCCAAAAAAAATTCACTCGCCAAGTTTCTTATAATTAATGCTCTTTATAATTGCAAAAAATAATAACAATGTCATCACATAATTTAAACATCTATTCAAAAAAGTTACCTCATCATAATGTATATTTTTCTCCATAAACACAAATTGTTAGACGAGTAAACTAAAACGCAGATCATTAATGTACATTCTTCTCCATAAACACAGATCATCAGACATCATTATAATATCTAAATTGCTTAGTTTACGAGTTTAAATTTTAAAATTAATAGATAATACCGTAAAACCCTCAATAACAAACACACAAAAAATGACGCCAATATTGACCGCATGCAAGTTTTTTAAAAAATGGGAGGATTTTTTTTTTAAACAAAAAAGTCAATAGGACTAAAATGACCAAGTTATCACGCGGCTCTCAACATTAGAACTTTCTTCCTTTGATTGTCCCAAAGAAAATAGGGTCTGCCAAACATGGGAAATTTCTGGTCAAAGCATGCGTCTCTGGAAATGAAATTATTTTATCTAACAGTTTATTTGTTTATCATTGTTCAATTTGTTGGGTGTGAAAAAAATCATCATAATTTTGATTTAATCAAATGGAATTAATTTTTAAGAGGTTAATTAGTTTTTTTGAAAAATACTTGAGATGATACCTTTTTCACTATTCTTTAAGTCTTAAATTTGTCTCGTTGGTTTATACTAAACCACAATTTATAATTTAAACATGATAAGTATAAGTCTTTGAATAAAATTAATCAATCTCACACCACAATCTTCTCTTGCATCCGAATCAAACATACCCATGTTTTGTGTTGCTTATTTAAAAGTTTCTTATTAACTAAGTGGCAGTATTTACCTAATATTAACTAGCCGGCTTTCTTTACATGCATGTTTGTGCTTATGATAATGGGTTTTGATTTTGAAAAACTTCACCATCCAAGTTTTATAATAAATCCACACCAATTAAGCCCACAGACCTCTAAATTAATGGTTTAAGTGGTCTTAAGTTACATAAACTGACAAAGCCTGCTTGCTTGCAAACTGAAAACTGTGCTCTTACCTAACAAACAGTTTGTTTCTGTTTCATAGTTTTGGGCATATATAGACCTCAGTTGCTATATGTAAAGGGGCATTTTTTCTGTGTGATTCAGTTCAAATGTATCATCAATTGGTCATCATTAATGGAGGTGTAGATATTCATTTGGAAAGAGACATTGCTGTGGGGCTCCCATCTACCACATCACATAATTTAATATTAGAATGAGGACAATGGAAGATGATGATGATGATATGTCAATTGACTCAATTCATTGCTCTTATTTTATTTGCTTGGGCCCTTAGAATGTAACAATATGGATTAGACTTGCTTCTATAATGTACTTAATTCCAAGTAGGCCACAAGTGACACATTCCTCGTGGTAAGATTCAGATTCAGATTCATTTCAATTAAATTCAGTTAATTTTTTAACTGTTGGATTATGTATCCTGAATCTCAATTAGATTCACTTTATTCAGGTAGATTCCGAGCAATATTGGGCGGATAATCTGGCATTCAAAGAAATTGACGAAACCAGGTGAATCTTAACCCTATAATAATGTGTGGGTAAGGTTGAATTTTTGTTGGGTAACGAGGCTAAACTACATTAGCATCCCTGCAATTTTTAAGCAAAATCAAGATCGCCTAATATTTGAGAAATTACATAATAATCCTCATTTCCGAATGTTTTGAAAAAGACACATTTTTTATTTTCTAATATCTAACACCTGAGCCGAGTAAAGAATAAAGACACTGATTTTTGGTAATTTCTTAATTATGAAGTTTGATAACTTTTATTTCCCCAAAAATATTGAAAAATCCATGTTATATTCAATTTTATCAGAACCGGACTGGATCGGTTCAACCGTGACCCGGGACCTCAATCAGTCTGGTTGACTAGTTAAACCGCATAAAGAAGAAAACTGGATAAAAACCATCAAATCGGCCAGTTTTTGGAGAAAACCGTGAACCATACGATTTTTAAAAATCGAACGATTTGTAGTCCATAAAAGAAAAAATAAAAATCAAATCTATTTTTTTTATTTGGGTCATTTTGTTGTCGCCCTAAATTGCATAAGGCAGAGAACGAGAAGTGAGTCAACTATCAATGCTCAGCGACCAGTGCTATTCGTCTCACCAACTAAAGGGAGGTATCGATCAATGCTCAGACAGCACTCAGGCGACCAAGGAAGCAGTCTATCGAGGCTGTTCAGTACTCAGGCGTCCAACGAGAAATGAGAATTTAGTGAGAACACAACACTGCTCTTCGTCTCACCAGCAACAACGAGGCAACGAGCGGTGCTCAGGCGGCACTCAGACGTCCATCGAGTATCGAGGTTGTTATGTTCAATACTCAGGCGCATTCAAGCGACCACTCAGCAATCGACCGATCTCTCTCAATCAGTCGATCAATTCAACACACCAGCTCTCTGATGTCTTTAACGTTAAGGTAAAAAGTTTGTCTTCTCATCCTTTCTCCTTTCTCACACACACTGTTTTGTTCTCGATTTCTACAGTCTCTGACTTCAACTTTTTGTTGCAAAAGTGAACTGTGGTTATTGGTTTTGTTGTTTAGAAAGCTGTTGTGAATACTCTTTTATTTTTTAATTTTTTTTGTTTAATCATGTCTCTTTGAAGATTGCGGATGGTTATGATTGAATTTTAGTGTATTATAGTTTTCAACTTTCCACTTTATTGTTAGAGGCTTACATACAGCTTAAGAAATCAATGTGACTATGTTAGTGGTTGTACTGCCTTACTAAGTTATGAGTTACTAGTAAGTTATGAGTTACTAGTTTGCTTAAGAAATCAATGTGACCTTCTGATGTTGTTTGTTTAATTATTTGGTGTTTATTCTACACATTATTGGTATGCCATGAATTGATACTGTAAACACCATTGATTTCAAGAATCATAAAATCAATACATTGGGCAATTCAAATGGTCTATTATTGATGTTACTGTGCTATTATTATGAATTGAGATTGTGGGATTGTGAGTTAGAATTTTTTTTGTCATTGTGAATTTTATGCTATCAGTTTGTTTGCTCTAGCAAAATGTCATCTTTTGGGACACCAAATGAATCTACTCCAACCCCAACTAGTTCTACAGCTACACCAAATATTTATTCTACACAAGCTACAGTCAGAGGAAAAACTGACCTTGCATGGGAACATTGTCGGGAATACGTTGTTTATTCGAAAAAGGGGAGGAATTTGATTTGTTTGTATTGCCAAAAGGTCATAAAGGGTGGTGGTATTAACAGATTCAAACAACATTTGGCAGGGATTAAAGGAGCAGTAGAACGATGTACTAAATGCTCACCCGATGTGAGCCTTAACATGAAATTGCTCCTAAAAAGTGTTGGTAACAAGAAAAGAAATACACAAGAAGATTACGAGGAAATAAATCAATATGGACCGGAGTTTAGATGTTATGAATAACAGGAGTACATGCAAAAGAATGGAGATGTTCAAGAACTTCCATCCTCTTTTAAGGGAAATGGCATTTTCATTGGTAGAAGTCAGGGTAAATCAACACCTAAAATGGATGGAGGAAGAAAGAGTGAAACAATTGGCTCTTTCTTTGTGCCAAGGACTACTTCAGGTGCTCAACCTACTATTAAAAGTGTGTTACAAAGAAAGGAGGAAAAAGAGAGGTTTGATCTTGATTTTTCTAAATGGATGTTTGATGCTTGTATTTCCTTTAATGATGTGAATTCCAAGTATTATCAACCTATGCTCGATGCAGTAATAGGTTATGGTGGTGGTTATAAAGGCCCAAACTTTTATGACATTCGTGGTTATTTGTTGAACAAGAATGTCGAAGAAGTCAAAAATTTTGTTCATAATTTTCAAACAACATGGAAGGAGACTGGTTGCACTATCATGGTTGCTGGGTGGACAGATCAATGTAGGAGAACTCTCATTAATTTCTTGGTCTATTGTCCTAGAGGAACGGTATTTCTAAAGTCAGTTGATGCTTCTGATGCTTCAAGGACAACTGATATGTTATCTAAATTATTTAAAGAGATTGTGTTACTTGTTGGTGTAGAAAATGTGCTGCACATAGTAACTGACAATGCTGCAAATTATGTTGTTGCGGAGTGGCTATTGAAGCAGGAGTTTTCCACAATATCTTGGTCACCATGTGCAGCTCATTAATTGAACTTGATGTTGGAGGACATTGGAAAGTTGGATAAGGTAAATGATGTTGTGCCCCATGCTTCAAAGATCACAAAATACATATACAATCATTGTTTTCCATTGCATTTAATGAGGAAGCATACTGGTGGAAGGAAAATATTGAGACTTGATCCTACACACTTTGCAACCAATTTCATTGCATTGCAAAGTACTTTGGAACAAAAGGATGCTTTATGATCTATTGTTACATCAAGAGAATGAACTTCATCGACATATACCAAGGAAAGCAAGGGAAAAAAAATTGTTGATAGTGTGTTGGATTCTAGTTTTTGGAAATAATGTTCTATTATTGTCCAACTTATTGAGCCTCTAGTTTGAGTGCTATGGATTGTTGATAGTGATGATAGGCCTTCAATGGGCTATTTGTATATGGCTATGAATACAACTAGGGAGGAACTATTAAGAAGATTTCAAAAAAAGAAGAAGAGAGTAGATGTTTACTTGAAAATCATTGATTCTCGCTAAGATAGACAGCTTCACAAAAATCTGCTTGTTGTTAGTTATTTGTTGAATCCGAGTAACCAATGTAACACTATTGAAATGGAAAAGCACAAGCAGACTATCTCAGGGCTCTTGGATGTTATTGAGAGTTATATTAATGGAAATCCCACTTTAAGAAGTAAGTTGACAAATGAGATTAAGTTATTCATAAATGCAAAAAGAGACTTTGGGTGGGTGACGCTATTAGTGATCCACATACAATGCTTTCTGACACTTAGAATCTTTTGAGTTTTGACTCATTCAAGTAGTTTGTTTAGTTTATTTTAAATGTGATAATTTGATTGTGATGCATCAATTGTAGATGAATGATGGTTGTGTTATGGAAGTAGTGCACCAAATTTGCAAGAATTAGCCATTCGCGTCTTAAGCCAAACATGTTGTTCTTCGGCTTGTGAACGAAATTAGAGTGCATTTGAACACATTCATTCAAAGAAAAGAAATAGGTTGGAGCATCAAAGGCTTAATGACCTCGTTTATGTTCATTACAACTTAAGATTGCAACAAATGTATAAAATCTATGTTAGCATCTCACTAAAAGAAGAATGACTTTTATTATATTTTATTGATTGCATATTTTAGACACTTTTCTCAAGTAAATGACGATATACAAAAATTACTTGAGGGGTAGAAATTATGATCTAATTGACTTTGAAGATTTCACAAGCAATGCCTCATGGATTTTAGAGGATGGGTCTTCAAATTTAACCATACATGAAGTAGAAAGTTTCGTCATGAATTAGTTGCATGCAATATCCAACCAAAACTCAACACTGGTATGTTTCATACTTCTTGTATTGTCTTTATTAGTGAAAGTATATATTTACAATAATTATTTGATACAACAATAAATAATGCCTCTATTGGATGTAATGTAGATGAAATTTTGAACTTTGAATTGGATGATGACAATGATGATCTTGAAAATGAAGAAGGTAATGGGAGTGGAGGTTTTGAGACTGCAACTACTGTTGAAAATATCAATTGTGTTGGAGCTGAGAACCCCGAGTTTGGCATGGATTGGAGTTCATGGAATAGAAGCACTCGTTGAGAAAATGAGAATGAGTAGAGAATGTGCACTGTGTAACTTTTATCAAGCATTTGAGGAGTTGTACTTTTATTTTGTGTGGCCATTATAATGTTGTGTTTGAGATTTGTAACTTATGTTTAATTATTATTAGGATGATGTGTTCTTATGTAAACTTTTAACTTCAACAAAGATTATGCTTTGGGGTTTGAACTTGAAGTGATTTTTCTATTATGTACTTGGATTGGAGTTTTAAAGTTGAAGTTTGATATTTGGCATAAGTGTTTCTTTTATTTAACTTCATTAATTTTTTGGCAAATTGTATGCATTTTAGACATATTTTATATTTTTTAGCTAAATTATTATGTTTTATAATAATACTAGTTATTGTCTGTACTTGAAGGCACAGAGAGTAATAAAAAAATAGTATACAATAAATATATTTGTATTCATATCCAAAATCAAATCACAAATATAGAGAAGAGATAAAAGAATTTAAACATCGATTTATAGTAGGGGTGAAAGGTGGTGGGTTGTAGTAGTGGTGGTAAGAGACAATGATAGTTGTGGTGGGTGACAATGACTATAGTGGTGATGGCGGTGACAACGACAATGATAGTAGCAGCGGTGGCAATAGTGGTGGCAGGGGTGGTCGTGGCAGTGGCGATGGTGGTGGTGCAGCAATAATGGCGATGGTGGTGGCGGTGATGGTGGTGTTAATGGTGGCGATGATGACGTCGGCAATAGTGGTGGTGGTGGAGCGGTTTCAAATACTATTTTTTTAAAAGTATTTATGAGAAATAATTTTTAAAAATATTTTTAAAAAGTCACTTCAAACACACCTTTAGCAGCTTATTTTTTCTATTAAATTTATGGTGTTAATATTAGCCGTTAGATTAACCGTTAGGTCAATAAATATATATTGAACCGGTCAATAACGGTTGAACCAGTAAACTATTGATCTGATCCCCTTATCGGTTCAATGACCTATCCAGTTCTGATAATATTGGTTATATTATCAAAGTGCAAAGTAGTTCCTAAATTATGAATTTTAACAATAATTTTTTTCATTTTTTCTCACAAAAAATTGAGAAAATCTCTTTGTTATGTTTTGTAGGGTGTAACGTTGTCCAACATGTAAGCAAGTAGATCTCATTTAATTTAGTAATTACCATGTCTATGTAAGAAAATAACGTTGGACACCATGTAACAACAATGGCGTTGTGTCACCATAATATTTAATATATATATTTTTTTGATTTAACGGTTAAAAATGTCTGAATGAATTTATGTGCACTTCAATTAATTTTTTCTCTAGTTTAGTTAAAGACAAGTCATTCATGTCAAGACTAGAATATTTATAAAGATGAAAGATAAATTCTTCATAATCTGACCCCAAATAATTGCCAAAATTTAAATAAAAGACGTTTAAATTTATAACCTGTCTCGATTACTGCTTAATCTACCTTAGAAATTTTATGTTCAATATTTTCTCAAAAAAAGGATAGCAACATAATTTTTGTTAATAATTTTGTTGAACCACATTTCCACAATAGGAATTATCCAAATCGAATTTGGTGACAATGGAAGGCGGCTGTGGAGCATAGGATAATATCAATGATGGCCATATTAAGCTATGGTTATATTCAAATCTGTTTGGTTACCATCCGTAGGACCCACGAAATCGTGCTCCCTTTTGGGCCATTCAAATGTCTTTGACGAAGCCCCTTCAAAACCCCCCCCTATTTTTTACAATTTATTTATTGGATTTGCAATTTGCAGCCGCCGGTAGTCCGTAAGTTTGAATTTTATATCAACAGTCTGTTACCCACTTTGTGAGTGACCCAACAAGGTGGCCTCTTCCATTACTGTTTGCCACCGCCATTTTGCGAAATTTCGCATGTGCCCATGGGTTTAATATGGATAGGTTAAATCTCACGTGAAAGAATCGTAAATTTTGATGTCTTAAGTTTAAATTTTGATAATTTTTTAAGACTAGATCATGAGAAATTTATCCCTATAAATATTTTAGTATCGACGTAAATAATTTGCCTTTAATTGAACTGAAAGAGGATTAATTGACGTTCGTGTAAATTGACCTGAAAATCCGTATATATATATATGTGTGTGTGTGTGTGTATACATGATTTTGAGAGGGATATTAGTGACCGTTTAGACGGTCAAATGAGATTATTAAAGTCTGTCATATTTTATATTATATATTGGTCAGATAGATTGATAGTCCAATCTAAGTTGTAATAAAAATTTATAACTATGATATAATTTGAATTTCGAGTATCCATATTGTATGTATGATTCGATTTTCATAAACTTGGACTAAATTTTGAATTCAATTCCTAGTTTGAATTAGTGTTAATTTAAGTTGAGTTAGACTTTGATTCAAATTTTCATTATAGGGTTTTACAATTGTGATTGGAATACGTGTTTTGAATTTGAAGTTGAACTGAGTCATTAATTCGAGTGAAGTTCAAGTTAGGTCCTAAAAACTAATCTAACTGGAGTAATATTATTTGGATCTAAAAATTTGATCTAATTTACTATCATAATGATGTGGATTCATATGAATTATTGGATTAACACTAAATTTCAATGTTTGATGGGGTCTACAATAAATTCAAAGGCTACAGTGAATTAAGTCAGCAAATTATATCAATAAATTAGATCCAAATAACATTGATCACCTAACTGTTGCTTGAATACACATTAAATTATATATTTTTTGGTCATATCTACCCCAAATATTATAAAATCTGTGATAAAATCTTGAATATTTATATGTTGAACTTTCATTGAATTCAAATTTACCTCCCCAAATTAAAAGTATGCAGGAAAATTCAATTGTATATCAAGTGGAGTGAGAGACAAGAAGCTTTCAAGCAATGTAGATTTTGATGTGGATGGACGGAGACTTTTCCTTTTAATTAAAGTTCCTTGCCGAGGTTGGAGGGTAGAGGAAAAAAAAAACTCATGGGTTTTCTTGTTCCAGAGGGAATTCAATCTCAATTGATACATAATTTTCTGGTTGCCATTTGTTTATGGTACATCTCCCCTGGTCTTTGTCCACTAAGTAATGATCAATCTTTGTATGCACTTCTTACACGCAATAAACTTGTGGGTTACAAGGAATCAGGCTTGAAACTGTTTGATGTAATGCTACTATGAATTTTTTTACACAATAGGTGTAGTTGAGGTAAGAAATAACGATTTCTACTCAGTTTGTTCCATGTTGATTGAATGTAATTGGAAGTATGGATTGAGTATCCGTTCGATTTTTTGAACAATTTATATAAAATGGGTTTCTTTATATTTATTTCACAAACTTATGGTTGTTAACCCGATACTTAGAATAGTGTAGTAAATGTAACCCATTTGTGACTAGGAAATGTGTTTTATTTCCAAAAATGTAAGGCTGTACTTGCATTTGTGGGTAAAAAAAAGAGTACTTTTAAGGCACTTGTTTTAAATTCAAAAATTATCGTTCAAGAGTAAATATTTAGCGTAATAATTATACTATACCAACATTATCATGTGATGTCACTGTTCAATAATATACAAATAAGTGAACAATATAAACTCTATTTCTTTACATGGGCGATTATTATTTTACATGGTAAGATTCAATTTGTCTATTTACTAGATTACCGAGGATACAATGTGACAATATTAATTTTTGTATACAATCATTGCAATGAATATTTTCTACTTGTTTAGATGGAAAGAAAAAAAGACGACAAAAAATAAAACCTCATAATACCACTACTTGACCATGACTTAGAAAATAATTCGTAATTTCTGCGGTACAAAGGGGCGAATTAACGAAGAAAAGCCTAATTGAAACTTGAAAGACCAGCAAAACATACATTGGAGACGGATGGAGCCCACTGCGAATAATAACACCCTAGACGACTTAGTCGCTTGAGGAAGACTTGTGTTAGAGAATGATCTGTTTTGTCAAACACGTGTCTACTGTATCAACTTCTAAGTAAGCTAACTAATCTAACACTATCCCCACTATGCCACTATCAAACAACAGTCGATGCAAATATTGGTTTAACTATGGTAGTGGGTAGTGGTGGCGGCGGTGGTGGCGGGTAGTTTATACAATTTCATTTCCACTATTTTGATAATTAGTATTTCAATGTCACACTTTTGTTATCTTTTGTCCGTTATTATATTAACGTTAATAGAGTGATTTTTTACAGAATAAACAACTGCAATTAACATAAAGAACATATTACAACAATTTTGATATATTGAAACTTCAATTTGAAAAAATTGTTCTCTAATGGTGTAAAATGAAAATTCTTTAATATTTCTTCTTTATTAAAGTCCTATTCATATACATTATAAGTGTACTAGTTATTGTTTTTGCCAAAAGATATAAAATAATAAAAAAAATGATCAACAATAAGTATATTTATATTCATATATAAAATCAAATCACAAATATAGAGAAGAAAGAAAAAAATTTAAGCACTGAGTGAGAGTGAACGATGATAATGATGATGGGTGGTAGTGGTGGTGGTGGGGTGGCGATGACAGTGATGGTGGTGGTGATGATCGTGAGAGGTGGTGGTGAGGCAATAGGTGTGGTAATAGTAAGGGTGATGGTTGGATAGTGACGGTGGTGATGGTAAGGGTAGTGGAGATGATTGTGGTTGGGGTAGTAGGAGGGTGATGGTGGTGGGGTGGTTGCAATAGTAATGGCGACAGTGGTGATAGTAAGAGACAATAGTAGTTGTAGTATAGTGGCGATGGTGGTGGAGTGGAGGTGGCGATAGTGGTGGTGGTGGGTATAATGGGGATGGTAGTAATGGTCGAGAGGCAACGATGGTAATGATAGGGGGTGGTATGGTGACAACAACGATGTGATGGTAAAAGTTGGGGTGATGGTAGTAATTGTTATAATGGTGGCAAGGTAGTGGGTGAATGGTGGTGGTGGGATGGCGATGGTCGAGGTGGTAATAGTAGTGGTAATGATGGTGGAGGATAATTTGGTGATAGGGGTGGGGTGGCGGTGGTAGGGGTGGGGGTGATAGTGGTGATGGTATTGGGGTGTTGAAGGTAGTTTTAAACATAAATTTTTTTTTTAAAGTAGCTATGAGAAATTGATAGAGTCTCTCTAAACACACCCTTAGAGGTTTTTTTTTCCTATTAAATTTGAAATGTTAATATTAGTCATCAGATTAAATTTAAAATAAAATTGAAAAAGATCTCGATTGCAAATAGCAAAAATTATTTTATTTATCTTTTAAAATTTGAATTATATTATATAAATAATGTCTTGTAAGATTTTTATTAATTTTAAACCAACAAAAATTTTTAGTAATAATTTCAGAGTAAAAAAAAAAAAAGAGAAATAGAATTTTCTATAACAAAAAAATTGAGAAATTTTTAGGTTATTTTTGACATATAAAAAAAGCTCAATATATTTTTTGTCACAAGGGGGCCATTTGTTTTGAGTATTAGAGTGGTATAAGGAGGTGGTATTAGGAAAATAGTACGTGGAACCCATCTTATACATTGTTTGTTTGGTATTTTATAGTCAGTACTATTTTTCGGATCGTAATACTGACCCGCTATGAACAGTTGTCATAATGTCTTGTAGAAGGTCTTAATGAATACCACCTAGAGGGTGGTATTATATTCTTAGTATAGGTATTATAAACTAAAAAGACCGAAATGTCCTCCGATACAATTTCCATATAAAAGTCTACCCGCAATTTTTGATTTTTTAAAGGTTAAAATTGTCTTTTACATTGGTTAGCCACAATTATTGACTTTTTTAAATAGGTATTACACAGATAATATTTGTGATAAACAAATAAGGAGAATTATGGAATTATAATTTAACACCGGATATAATATATTATTGGATTGGAGTGAAATAGATATAAAATCTTATACCATCTAAATTTTATACTCGAAACAAACATGCCCAAGTTGTTTAAATTTGAATCAATTATTCTCTCGAATTTTGAGTTAACTATCATAATTCAAATTAAATTATATATTTAATGAGTAATATTATATAGATTTAAAAATTAAATTTAATAATTATAAATATTAATTTCACTATGGGTTCTAATATTTATTATGAGTCACTATCTATTCAATAATTATAATTAATAAATCTAATTTTTAACTTTTTGTAATATTACTCATATTTAATAGATGCGGAAAGACAAGGGTTGTTTGACTTAACAAATACTAATATTAGTTAATAAAGATAATTCTATTAACCTTAAACAATTAAACCATACAAAAACCTCACGGTAGAAAAAATCGCTGAATAATATTGGCTACTCTCTCACTGTACTATTATACACAGCACTGTTTACATTCAATTGATCAAACATGGCCACGTTACGAAGGCAGAAGTATCTCATAGAATACAATTACAGAACAAGCACTGCATTTTCCACAAAAGTACTAACTAGCCCCAGAAAGTATGGGCAGAGACTGGTCTTCTTGGTCATCTGACTTCAACGAGGAAATCATCTACGTTAAACTCTCCAAAATCTTCGGCGCAGTAATTCTTCGACAGAGAGATATCCGGCGAAGTGAATGGCATGTCGATGTCGAATCCGAACCCGAACTCAAACCCGAATGCGTCCACCTCACCATAACTGAAATTGTCAAACGCCGTGAAATCGTGGTTATAACGGAGTACCGACGTCGGTGATAAAGCGGCGTCGTTTGACAGGCCTTCGTTTTCCTTCGGCGGTGTGGAATCTTTGTTATAATGGAGCACCGACGTGGGCGACAAAGAAGAGTCGTTTGCTAGGCCTTCGCTTTCCGTTTGTGCTTCAACGACCGTTTCCATAACAGAAACTTTGGGAAAGTTTGTGACGGCGTCAGGACCCTTTAATTTAACGGCGGCTCGGTCGTACACAGAGGCAGCTTCTTCAGGCGTGTCGTAAGTTCCGAGCCAAAGCCGTTTCCTCCGTGACGGGTCTCGGATCTCCGCTGCCCACCGTCCCCACGGCCGCTGACGCACGCCCCTGAACTTTTTATTGCGAGTGACGTCAGTTTCAGGCGAGCCCAAGCTTTTGAAGCTTCGCTTCTTAGCTAGTTCTTGCTTTGGCGATTTAATAGTTGGCCTGAAGCTTATCTCTCTGACGAGTCTCTTCATTCTCCGATTGGTAACTTGTTCATCGTCATCGGAGGAATCAGTGGCATCGGCGTCGGTGAGTATGATCCTTACCACCTTTTGCCTGAACTTCTTTGGTCGGCCGTCGGACGCCATGTCGTGAAGACGTGGTCTGAAAGTTTCACCGGCGTTCGTACGGACACCTTAGAGTCAACCCCTTGATTTATAGTCCTTGCTATGGACGACGCAAAACACAAATAGAAGGAGATGATTATCTTTTTGCACATCAAAAGGGTATCAAGATCAGCTCTTTATTTGGGTAAAACTTAAAAACAAGAACTGATACACTTGAGAGGATCATTGAAGCAACAGTTGAATCAGCAGTGAAAGAACAACAATCTCGGAGTCCAACGTTTTGGCTCAGAGGTTCAGAATTGTTGGGACCAGACAGAGAGACAGAAGAGAGTCTTTATATATAGAGGAGAGGGAATTACACAGAGAAAGTGTAGGCAGTTAGTATACGTAGTAAAGCTGTGCTCAAACTTATAGAGAAAAGGAAAAGAGAAAGAGATAGCTCTCTGCAGCAAAGAGCTTTTGCTGTTTTGGCGGGAAACCAACAAACACACAACTTGTGTAATAAAAGCTTTCTGCAGCAGCAGAGTTAAAGATATGGAGAAGGAGAGAGAAAGAGGGGGTGAATCGGAGAAGACTGATGCAAGTAGGCCTAAATTTATAGTGCACGGGTGTAGAAAGGAGGGAGTAAAGTCTCTCTCTCTCTCTCCCTCTTTCTCTCTCCTGTGTGTGTGAGTGGAGTCTTTCAGGACTGCCTCGGTCGTGTCGGGGTGGAAACGGAGGACTATTACAGCTGGTTTTGTTGACGTGTCAAAGGCTTTTATTTTACGCCAAAAGTCTACGCTTAGCTCTCTTCTTTTCTTTTCTCTTTTTTTTTTTTTTTTATTACCAATCTTACTTTATTTGCCCCAAAAAAATTCTTATTATTTTATTAAGATTATATAATTTTTTCTTCTGTAAAATAAAAAGAAAATAAATAATTATTTGCTGAAAGTTGTGGAAGAAACGTTTGCGAAAGTTCGTGGAAAACAACTGTGAAGACCAAAGTGGAACGTGCAAAGAAGCAGCATTTGTCATTGCTTGATTGTATTTTATTTTATTATAGCATGCTTAACAAGTTGACATTGGTTTCCCTGTTCCAATTTTTTATTTCAACGATTAATTTGATTAATTTTCTCATCGTTTCGATAAAAAAAATAAAGTATTTACGTTATAATTAAAATATTTATAAATAATAAATTTTTCATAGTTTGATCTCATGACATTGTGAAGATTCGAATTTAAAATATCTGAATTTACAGCTCTCTTTATTTAGAATTTGGTTTGCTTAGATTCATAACCAAACCCTCTTCAACATCTTCTTTGGGGCAGATTAAAGAGAGATTAGTGAGAGTAGAAATGTAAATTAATCTAACTAAGTCGAATGTTAGTGTATTATATGAGCTCGGCTTGTTATTGTGACAAGTATTTAAACAAACTCGTTAAAACTGATGAAACGAATCACGTTCTTGTATGAACTTTGCTCGGATCGTTTATTAAATAAGCTGTAAAATTGAATTTAAGCTTTGTTCATTTTAAAAAATACACAAACTTCAAATAACTTATTCTCTTGAATTATTACATTTATTTCACTTTACACCCTTAATTATAAAATTTTTCACATTATACTCTAAAGTTTCAATTTTGTTTCACATCACTTCAATAGATAATAGTTGCTAATTTTTTGAAGGTAAATGGACATGTGAATAGTTTGTACTACCAATAACCGATTGCATATTATACATGTGCAAGTCAAAAATCAACAAAAATATCTATCTATGATTTTGCCCTTTCTAAGTTCCAAATTTTTTTTTCTCTAACCGACCTTTTTTTCCTTCAAAGAAACTATTTTGTTTCAAAAGAGGTAAAATAAAGTGATGTTTGGCACTTAGCAGGAAGATCTTTGGAGTTTTCCTTCCTCATTTAACAGATTTTCAAATTTATTGTTATCTATTGGGGTGACATAAAATAAAATTGATACTTTAAGGTGCAATGTAAGAAATTTAATAGATGAGAGTGCAAAATGAAATTAGGACAATAGTTTAAGGGATGAAGTATAATTAACTCATTCATTTTCTGCCTTAACATGAAGTTAATTGGATCAGCATACCGTGGAACTGGGGCCAACATGGCATTAGCATGAAACATACGTTGCCAGAAGATGCTTACAGTCCTAATCGAAGAATGTTCCTCATACCATCCTATGATCTAATTGATGAAATAAGCGGGTGGGTTGTCTCATATTTGAAAACCATTCCTATTATATTATTATTGATGACTACGAGTTCTTCTCTTCAATCCATATTTCTACCTGTTCTATTGCTAGGATGAGTTAGAAAAGGCAATGAACACGTTGAAAAGTAAGCGAGAGTTGGTTCTTGGGTTGAAGAAGCAGCAAATGAAAGAGACCCCACAAGACAAAAACGTCACCGATTATGTACTAGACTTGGGTAGACTTTTGGCTCGTTACCTAAGCGATGATGGTTTACACGTTTAAAATATCAGAAGAGACCCCCCTAGAGTTTGTAAATTCATAAATGAAAATGTGTAATAAATTTTTTATTTAGAAAGTTCAATGTTCAAAAAACATAGTCAAAATCGCAATATATAAATAGTACATATCAAATTTTAACCCTAAATTTAGACAAACGACTCCCGAGACAGATTGATGTGATTATATTTGATTAGTATTTAAATAACAAACTCATCTTTTTTTATATATCTTAGTATATAAATAATACATACATAGATGTACCAATGAACTTAATAGAAGTTTGGAGAAAAATAAGAAATCCAACAAAAAATAGAAAACAAAATACTAATTTAAAAACATTATCAAACGATACTCAATCTCTTCACTCTCAATGTAAGATGTAGTAACTGGTTCGACCATTTTTAATGAATAGATCGTAATTAAAAAATCTCAAAAGTAGTGCAAATCCACCGAGGCTGACAGACATGGCACTTTCAGGCCACGAGAGCAAATGACACATTCACAGACAAAACAATTATCAAAGACGTCTCTTAATTTAAATATCTTTTATGTAACACGCGGTCTTCATCCTCTCCACCATCCTATTAACGAAAGAACCCATCCCATGTCTGGTTTGAAAATTCATACTGTGTTTTGGACCTCATATCCACCGCTTCTCATTTGTTTTCAAGCAACAAAAAATCAAATATGACTACTGAAAGCAACTTCTCAATAAGTTCAAAAAAAATTATTAAATCAAGATATTTTGAATTCAAAAATTAACAATTCTCTTAGTACTCTTCTTGGTACGATGAAAAAATAGAAAGACAAAAAGTTGAAAGCATAATAAGCTTGATGAACAAATAAAATATCATGATTGGTAAAAAAGAAAAATAAGAATGATAAAAAAATAGATGAAAAAACTTTCATTCTAACTTACCGCAATCAATCTCTCCAAAATTAAAAAAAAAAGTTGATAAAAAATTAATTATTTGTGTTAAAATATATCTTATTTGTCTATATATCCTTTGATATATACTTATATTATATATACATTAATTTCATATATAAATACAATGATAAAATATATATTTATATTTTTTTAAAAAAAATTAAAAATTAAAAAAAAATAATCATTTTTATTTTCCATCCATCCTACCATATATAAAAAAAAGAAAAAAAATTCCTATTTTCCTTTCTTGAAAGATAAAAAATATATTCCTCCTACTTTTCATCCTTCTTATTTTCTATTCTTTCTACCAAACAAAACATTAGAACCAAACTATAAAAAATTTATGTTTCATGAGTTTTCTAATCCAAAGTTAATGTTTTAACTTTGATCAGACTCGAGAGAAGATTAATCAAATTACGCGTAAACTGACTCAAACATTTCTCGACGCATACACTATAAAATACAATTTCATCAAATATCAGGAACGCCGATCGATCTGTTTAAGGTCTTAACTGGGGCTCCCAAGATTGTATTGCCGGATGGTTTCGGGTCATAGAGCTTTCACAATCAAACAAATATCTAGTGACTCAACATTTTTCGAACTTACTGTTCGGAAAAAAAAAAAATCTTCAAAATTAACTCCCCCCGACCCAAAACAAAAAAATAAAAAAAAACAAAAAATCCCAAAAAGAAGGAACCCATGACTTTAGAAGATTGGAAAACGAGGATGATGCAACTTGGCAATGCTATTAGTACCAACCCCATATTGCCGTGAGTCTACTGACACGAAGAAATTCCCATGCATGAATTTTGTCCATACAAATGTAGATATCCCGATCAGGTTGATCAATCAAATCACCTCAATAAATGAGTCCACAAGCATTTAACTTCAGACAACGCAATTAACCGAAAAAAGCTGTATATGACAAAACCCCTATTATTATATAACTAACTAATACAAAGCACAAACTCAACTATATTCATAAATAATAGGACCATGTATGTGAGTTGGACGACTTTTTGACACGATACAAACTCAACATGACCTTGCCAAAGTTTCACTGCCTATAAATCATATAACATCCATAACCCATTAGAGAGACTAAAAGAAACAGATCAATCATCCACTTGAAAACATCAATGTCTCACTACATTACAGCTTTCCCCCCATTTTTCTAATGTCTTGAAATTAATATTCACATATTGTGAGATACACACTCCTTGCCAACATTAAATTTTAGGAGGGGAAACAGAAAACAAAGTCCGTTACGAGCAAATAACTTTTCACCCACACAGAATAAACATTCGAGTTGCAAAGTCTTTCAGGCATGCAAGGGTTTGTTTTACCGTCATCCCATGGCATACTTCTGTGTCCAGCTACGAGCAGTGGCCTCATATTTGGGCCTGTCTGTCTTATACATGTGAGCAATCTCAGGAACGAGCGGATCATCAGGGTTCGGGTCTGTCAAGAGGGAACAAATAGACAGCAGAACCTGATACATGAAATTCAATAAAGATTTTTAACCCAGACCAACATAAAACCTATCTTTCCACTAAGTTTCTAAACTTCCACAAGGAAATAACAAGGCACCTGTGAGAGAGAGAGAGAGAGAGAGAGAGAATATAGTTACTACATAACTAATGTTTGCGCATAATCATTGAAAATATTCATTTATGTTGAGCAGAATAATAAATGATGTATCTATTTGGATTCCCATACATAATACAATACATTAAAAGATTGATAATCCCCACGAAACCATAATAATCATGCATTCGGCAGACGTTCTAACAATTGAAATTATGAAGGTTGTCACTATAGTAACACTCATGGAAAATAACAAAGCAACAGTAACAACAAACCTTAGATATGGTTAACGCAGGACTCCATTGCTCTTTCAGAATATCCAGGCAAATGCTTCCATTACTGTTGATGTTTGGGTGAAAGACCTTAGTCCTAAATGCAACCTGAAATATCAACCACTTCAACACTCGTATAAATCATAATGGTACAAGACATTCTTATCAAACTCTTAAGAACTGATATGTTTTGAAATCGTGAACCATCGCACACATGCTATTTTGTTAAGACAATTATCACTGTGACACTTGATTAATCATGAAAAGTATAAAATTGTGATATACTAATTCCTTGTTAATAAAAGGGCAGTTATAATACAATTTTGTATTTTACACTCATTTGGATGTGTTGGTATTTTGCAGATAAATAGCATAATTTATGAAGTGTGAATGTGCATGGGGCCGTGCGTGCATGTCAAGGATGATTGCATGTGAATTGGTTTGAAAATTTATTTCAAAGATTAGAAAAATAATAGGAATTGATCCAGAATACTTTTGAAAGAATGTGAAGTACCAAAGATTTAATGGAGATCGATCCAACTGTGAGAAGGATCAGTCCATTGTGTATGAAGATTAAAAGGAGAACCAAAGAATTTAAAAGGATCAATCCCTTTATAACAAGGATCGATCCAAAGTGTTGATTGCAAGAAAGGAGTGTTAGAAAGTTAACGAGGATTGATCCCTCATAATTGGGATCAATAATTTTGGTAAGGAAACAAAAAGTGCAGGTAGAGATTTAACAAGGATCAATCCCTTGGATGTTTAGATACAAGGATTGCTCTCTCAGCTAAATGAATTGATCCCTTGCCAATAAGAATCGATTCCTATGTATTTGGGATTGATCCGGATGAAAGGAATTCTGAAGAATGCTACACAGAAACTTGTTGTGGATCGATCCCACCCAATCAAAGATCAATCCTTACCATATTAATTTTTTTTTTTTTGGATAGAAAACAAAACGTTCATTAAATAAGAAAGTTTACATCGTGGGTGGACAAGAAATCCAACAAGAAATGCGCCTAAACAGATAATTACATCAATAAAAAAAACAATAAGCCCTATGTCACCACAAGAACTCCCCTAGCTACATGAAACTATCCAAACAATAGTGAGGAAATAAAAAAGTATATTCTTGAACTCATTTGCCGTCGCAGCCCACAAGGACGTCAAGTACCTTATTTTATCCCAAAGAAGCTCTATTCTTTCTTCTCTTGCTTCAAAAATTCTGTTATTTCTTTCTAGTCAAACAACCCATAAAATTGCCAACAAAACCACACATTCCCATTAAATGGATGCTTTTACACCCTTTTCCAAACACTCCATAGTTTATCTCCAAAAGAGAGGAAAAACTTCTCAGAACCACCCTATACCATATTAATTGTGGCGATTGATGCAACGAGATTGAACCTGATGATTATGGATCTACCCAAATGTATCCAACAATCATTACCACCCAAAAATGAGGAAAACAAAAATCTATACAAAGCTACATATGGCACACAATAGTCTTATCATCCTAGAATGATCTAAAACTTTGCACACCATACTTATTACATGTGAAGCAATCAATATGGTAGTTGTGCATTGAACAAACACAAACACTCGTATTATGACATATGCACACTTTCACCATCTCAGGCAGTCCTAAAACATCAAAAAATAGCATTTTAAGAAAACAAAGTAAATAGAAGAAGAAAACTATGTTCATGCGGTTGTAGAATGTTGTAAAATTATGTTCGTTCATTCACTTATATCTCTTATAGCAATAAAGTTTTCCAAGGCTGTCCGGGCCCGGCAAGTTGATTATGTTGACGTGGATTATTTTATGTTTTGTTCCTTGCTATCCGCTACTAGTTACAAGTAGCAGTCTCTCTGTCTTCTTTCATTTGAAGGTCATCAGTTGATTATGAGTGCATTTATGTCATGTGCCTATCATGTCAGTCAGTTTTAAGTGATGGTATGGTATCTTTTTATCAGTCCATCAATCTACACTTGTTCTATCTCTACAGATGGCTCTTATCAGCACGCCCCTTGTTCACTGACCAACAACATTGCTGTTACTTAGCTGATGGTAACACTGAAAACATGGGATGTTCCTCAACCACTTCGACCAAAAGGTCTTCCGAGTTTCAAGTCTTCGAATCTTTTATCTCCATGTGTGAGCATCAAAATAAAAAGCTGTATCAAGTTCCCACGTGCACTGGGGAAAAAAGGTAACAAAACAAGTTCCCTGTTAAACCCCCCCCCCCTTTTTTTTCTTTCTCTTTTTATCAAAACGAAGTAAATAGATTATAATTACCCTCAGCTACTTCGAAACAACTCAATTAAACTAAAAGCCAATGTCATACAAATTTACTGTAAGGCATCCAAGGAAACCAGATGCATTACACCACTAAAACATACCTTGGGAGGCTTAAAAGGATAATCAGGAGGAAAATGAATCGAAACTAGAAATACACCTCCTGTATACGGGCTCTCGGCAGGCCCCATAATTGTTGCTTGCCAATGGAACATATCCTCAGCAACAGGACCTATATTTAGTAAAACATGTACCAATATTTAGTAAACAAAGTTCGGTCTAGGACAACTATTAAAGTAGAAAATGCATCGAAAAGGAATCACAAATCCTCCTGTGTGCAAAGATGACTGCCATTTCTGTAAAATACGGTAAAGGATCGTTGACAATGGAAAATAACCTCAGAAACTGGGCCAAAATTTAGTAAAATATGCACCAAAGTTTTGTAAATAAAGTTCATTCTAGAAAAACTAGCAGAAGCTAGTCAATAAGTTGAGGTTTTATCTGTAGCTTCCATTTCCTATATTTGAAATAGGAACACCCCCCCGGCACGGTCTTTTCGTTTACTGTGACTGATAGGCAAAACCTTACCTCACACCAGCCTCCCAATCAATGAGACTGATGATCAGCTCTTAGAACTATGCACATCCGAGACAAGCTGTTCAGGCAATTCTTTTGCAGGTGTTTGCTGCTTTTATGTTCAGACAGAGCTCATTGCCTACTCCACAATTCACCACTTCTCCCACACCACTTTCATGTATATAATAGTATTGCCCAAGAGCTTCCTTTCGCATGGCTCATTCAACCTTCCAACTTCACTCTGTTATCTGCGCTACCGAAGCATGTCTTAACACATTCCTTTGAACTCATTTCACCTATTCTACCTATCAATACCTCCTCAGCTTGCAACTTCTCTTTTTTCCTCACCCTGTGATCCCTTTCCCATGTTGTGGAAGTGCAGAAAAGAAGTAACAAATCCTCCCATGCACAAAATATATAATATAACAATAAAGAATGATTAACAGAGACAATAAACATAGAACCATTTAAAACCCCCAAAATCATATGCACCAATTAATTTTTGAGTTTGTTATCACTGTAAGAAATAGTATACCAACTCAAACTCAATAATCCATCAGAACCACAACCGCAGCATATAACCACGGTACCAAGTCCCTTTACACAACTTAACTATCGAGCCAGCATGTTTCTAGTTTAATTAACTCACAGAGTCAGAGACGTAAGGTAAGGACATCATGAAAGTGAAAACCCAAATTACCCATACGCTAAAACCCCGACCAGCTTTAACCATGTGAGAGACATTCAAACCACGTGATTTGCAAAGTAATTTAACCACCAACACTTCAACAGAAGATGTACAACAGTAAATGTGCTTCCAAAAGATTCATCCTCCCTTAACACCGGTCACAAACACCGTAAACTGAAGCAGTGAACAAAAATCCAAGCTCCCAATCACAATAATTCCGGCACAAACACATAACAATATACACGTCTATGGATAATAGAGAAAATATGTAGAATTTACCAGCACTGCATGACGTCGGAGGGTCCTTCTGCAAATCCTTGAGCTCCTTCAAGATACGTTTCGACGCCATAAATTCAACCGATCCTTTAGGTCTTAAAATCAAAGTCCTGAAGTCACATCCAGGAAAAGTTAAATCAGAAGAGGCAGATCTTGAACCCCAAAGACAAAAATTAACTAGATTATTACTAACATAAACCCTCACAAGAACACATAAAAACCAATTCAAGATCTGACCGATTTTTCGTATCACTGGAACCCTACAGTCGTTCCCAACACACACACACACACACACACACACACACAGAAGAGATGGGTGACCTAGTGGAGAGGAGGCGAACTACGTAATTGGGGGGAATGGGACGGTGATTGCAGATGGAAAACAGAGCCCATCGGAGTTTTAAACATTTATTTTTATTTTTGCGTTAATTACCGTGAATTATATTATTTATGTTAATTAAGTTTTTAAACTATGATTTATGCCAATTTAACTCTTAAACTATACCATTTGTATCAATATACCCTTTCTTCTAAATTTGTGGTTAATTTTGACGAAATTCCTCAAGTGTACATTACGTTAATATGAGAGTAGGATATAGTTTAATAGTCATGTGTTATTCACGTGAAAATTTTTGTCAAATTCAATAATAAATTTGGATGGAAATGTCATATTTATACAAATGTTATAATTTAAGGGCTAAATTAACAAGAAAAATATTATTTAAATACTTAATTGATACAAATAATAGAATTTAAGGACTAAATAGATAATTAATTCTTTATTTTTTTTATTACTTTAAGTAAAGGGGCTTAAAATTAGGAAATAAGTAATTTTGGTCCTGAAGGCTATGTTCTAGAATATTCGTGTAAAGTCATAGTTAGCGTACAATCAACGGGGCACTTTGTCTTTATACGTTGCCCTTGTTAGACAACTTGTAGTTCGACTGGGTGCGGGTCCTCATAGAATCCGAATCCCAATCCAATTTCGAAATTTCATGTGAATTTTATCAGATTATTTTAATTGTTATATATATATATATTTAATAATTTAATTAACTAATATTTTAATAAATTATATTTGAATTTCAACTTAATCTCATCAAATAGCTGCTTAATTTTATCATATATTTATGTACATAACTATAAAATTCAGATGTGATCACTATAAAATCAAATATTGATATTTTTGTATCCATATTCAGAAATTATTAAATTAAAAATTGGAATTCAAATCAAAATCTAATTCAATCTTAAGCCCAATTAATCATTTTTTTTATTGGCTTAATCACAATATAAACTGAGATGCATTAGACAAATAGGGACAAATCCAATGATGCTTGGGCCGGGTCAAATCAAAGCAACCTCAGACAGACTCCAGGTGCCCAAGCCCAGACCACGATCCTTCCTTAGCGAAGACCTAACCAAAGGCCCATAACCATAACCATTTGATCAATTTTTTATTAAAAAAATGACACAGAAAGACTCTGGTCCCGTAGCAATAAGGGTACATCCGTACAAAACATACTACCTATTTAATGATTATAATTATTAAGGAAGTATACATTTTAAGTCTGCACATAATATTTGTATAGGAACAATGCGAAAATTACTGAAGGAATGGAAAGAATCAACTCACATTGGTTTATGGGACTAAATGTTTACAAATTACAACAAATCATAGAAAGAAGAATTTTCTAAAACAGAGTAGAAGTTGATCCTACCACAACCTATGAAAAATGAAACAACGGACAAATTCACTCTTAGAATCCATAAATGCAGGTAAGGTTTGAATTAGACCTGGCAAAACCCTACCATGTATGGAGGCATTCAATTGGGTCTTGAATCAGATGAATTTTTGAGAGCATACCGCTGGAAAACTTGAAATTAAAAAAAAATCTGAGTTCCCAGAAAAAAATCATGGGGTCTGCACATTTGAGTCCTTGGATTTGTTCTCTTCAGAAGATGGCCGATTTTCTGAGTCAAATTGTCGGACTTCTTCGATCATTCTAACAACTTCATCCATGTTGGGCCGCATGTCTGGCACCCTTGCAACACATGCCATGGCAATTTGCAGCATTTGTACCATCTCTTCTTCAATGTTTTGAAATCTCATCAACTCGACATCAAAAACTTCAGCCGTCCATTCTTCCCTGACAACTGACTGAACCCACCTTGGGAGATCAACCATGTCATCGCGTCCTGGTGATTGCATTGGTTGTTTTCCAGTCAGCATCTCAAGTAGGAGGACACCGAAGCTGTATACGTCTGATTTATGAGTGTGCTTTCGGGTTTCAATCACCTCAGGAGCATGGTACCCTAGACGCCGAGATGGAGTGGCAGGGAAGTTCATAACAGGGGCTAAGCCGATATCAGAGATACAACCATCTAGATCTTGGTTGAGGAGGACATTTGAGGACTTAATATTGCCATGAGTAAATTTTGCACCACCAGCAGCATGTACATGAGCAATGCCCCTCGCAGCTCCGAGGGAAATCTTAACTCTGGAGACCCAATCTAATGGGGTTCTTCCAGCGTCCCTACTTCCTGTGATTACATAAAAAGTTCAGCAGAGAACATAATGAGAATAGTTAAATTAACAGACTGTTTGTAGACATGGTTACCATAATTCACTAAACCCTTAACGACCCACAATCTGGATACATCGATCTCAAAAGAGTTGAATTCGAGATCCAGATCACCAAAATGGACAACCCCAAATTGTAATATTAACCCTAAATCAATTCACTTTAGGACATGAAGCACAAATATAAAATACATATTAATTGACTACATGTATACAGATTTATAATTATATATTATTTTAAATAATAGAAAATTACGCACAACTATAAGATAAATGGTAATTAACTTTGTATTTATGAATGTTCTATAATATATAATGTTGTATAGTAATGAAAACAATCTACATAAGAGTTTCAAACGAATATCGACCAAAAATATCGTATCAGCTAAATCTACCCCCTATTGTACTGCGTACCTAAGAAAGTGTCATACCATGTACTCGTACCCCTATCATGTTCCAAAGTGACCCACGATCCAGGTAACAGCCAACTACAATAGATTTGACACAGCTAGCACAAGTCATGCATTATGAGCAGATGGACGAGGTCAGATCGAATGTCTCACATTGCAAACATCAGATACGTTTGAATTGCAAGAAATTTGCAATGATTTTAATAGACAGCAGCTTTTATTTAGCAAGAGTTCCCACTAATATAGGCCCTCTTTAAAAAACACTACCAATGCGATTGTCTCAATAGAGTAGTACATGAATGTAAATGTCCAAACTAAGATACATGCAGGTACAAAAAACTATGATGATAGGAGCATTTTGTGAATATGAAGAGGGGTAGTAGACTTTTCTCTTCAGTACATGGTACTTCCCATTCATTTATTTTCATATTCAAACACCAGAACATGGCTTGGCTTTAAGAAAATTTGCAGTAGCCTTGAATCCTTCTCATTGGTCTACAAATAAATTTTGTGTAATGTTGGTTCACAAGCAATATGTGTGAATTGTGATAGACTAGGCTCTCCATCAATTGATAGGTCAGAGTTCATCACATGCTTAACCTACACCTTAGGAGGTAAATCTTGTAACGCATTGGGAACAAAATGAAAGAAAAGAAAAAGATCAGAAAATGATACCGTGCAAGAGCATAGACAAACTGCCCCCTGGAATATAATCATAGACCAGGAGCTTCTCATCCTTAGAGTAATAATAAGCACGGAGAGGAACAACATTTGGGTGCTGACCAACCCTCCCTATGATGTCCATCTGCTGTTCAAAGTCCTTCTTCCCCACCACAACTTCTTTCAGCCTTTTTACTACCACCGTTGTTGCCTCCTCCAAGACAGCCTTATATGCAGTCCCATAACTTCCCTTCCCCAGCACTTCAGCTGAAGCCCGCAGTAAATCCTCAAGATCAAAATTATAAGAACAGCCTTCAAAGAAAACCAGCTTGTTTTTCTCGGGCTCTTGTACCCCACTACCAAACTCCTCCCTGGGCTTCTCACTTCTTCCACCCCTAGAAGACTTCCCTTTCACCACACCATCAGCCTCCTTTTTCTTTAAGCAGCACAAGAATATGAATAGGGCGACAAGAAACAGCACAGCAGCCCCTCCAACAGCGATGGCAATAATAGCCCCTAATGTGAGTTTCTTTTTGGAGCTTTGTTTTTTAGGGCCTACTGATGGGGGTGGAAAATATGAAGGGGAAGGAGAAGGTGGAACGAGTATGGGGAAACAAGGATCTAGAGGTAGTCCACACAAGAAAGAGTTACCTACAAATGAAGAGTTGGGAAATTTTTGCAGTGAAGATGGGATGGAGCCATTCAGACTGTTGTAGCTCAAATTTAAATGCTTGAGCCTTGGGAAGGTGCCATTGGGAATGGGCCCTGACAAGGAGTTGCTCTGGAGGCTCAATCCAGTGAGTTCAGTCAAATTCTGTATTGTTGGTGGAATGTCGCCAGTTAAGGAATTATATGAGAGATCCAGTACGTTTAGTTGAGGGGAAAGCGAGGCAGGAATATCCCCAGATAAATTATTGTGTTGGAGAAAGAGATAATGGAGGGAAGGAAGAGCAGAGATATCAGAAGGAAGATTTCCACTGAGAAGATTTGATCGAAGGCTGAGAACCCTTAGGGCATCCAACTTTCCTAGTGTGTTTGCAGGGATGGTGCCAGTAAGTCCAACGCCAGGAAGTCGAAGATTAACCACGCGGGTACTATCCTGAGTGCATTTGATGCCTACCCAAGATGTGCAGACAGGGGTAGCAGGATTCCAGTTGAGCTTACGACCATGTGGAACAGCAGCAGCAAAGGCAAGAAGGGCTTGTTTATCTGAGTTCAAATCACCAAGAGCCAGAGGCAGAAGAGTAACTATGATGAAGAGGGAAGGAAGCAGTTGACAGGTAGAGCAGAGTTTCATGAGGTGCAGTTCTCTCAGTTTTCCTGGTTCAGTACACAGACAATGAAACAACCTTAAATGCCCAAACAACATAGTGGGTCAAGGCACACCAACACTAAAAGAAAGAGAAAAATGCAGCCATCTTGTTTTTCACAGGCATGAAATATAGTGATGATCGCCAAATTGTTCAGAAAATAAAAAGAAAAGACAACTAGCTTTTCTTGTGTATATTACATGTGTTTCTATGCAGCAAAAAATGTTTAGTCAACTACAGAGTGAGATTAACTTTAAGTTGATCTTCTACCTCAAGGAGGTCTTTATAACTTCTGAAACTATAGGAGGTTGAGTTTATTCTCACTAACCCTCGAGGGCTGTCAGTTTAATTTACTAAAAGTAGGAACTTTAAAGCCAATAATAAAGACCAATGATTATTTGCAAGTGACCAACAAACAGCTGCAAATGCAGCTACTTATAGCTAATTCTATAAATTATATACACGCTTATCCAAACACTGTAAGGACATAATGCTGGTATATAATTGACAGAGTAATAGCACCCTCCACTTCAGGTGATAAGAGAAGTAATTTGGACTTTTTGAAGTTCAGAGCACAAAAACCTGTGGCATGATAACATTTAAGCTCTCTGCAGAGGAAGCATTGTATATCATATACAAGGATTGCATGCTAAGACACTCATAACAGTGGCGTTCATGCAGTTTTCTCTGAATAGCAGAACACGGCAGAAAATAGGAGTACTAAATGCATACTTTGAAAAAACTAAACATTTTAATTGGGATTTGGCTCACTTTATAACAGCAAAGCATAATACATCATTTTTTTTTCTCAATCAAACAACCATTACGTAGAAAAAGTTCAGAAAAGAAAAGGGGGGGAAAGAAAAAGTAACCAAGATCCAAAAGCAAAGGCAGAAGCATCCTACAAGGGTAAAAGAAAAGCATAACACTTTCTTTTTCCTATCACCTTCTAAGACGAAAAAAGTAATAAAAGTGCCCATCTTTGAAGGAAGTGGACACAGTGTTATAGAAAAAATGTAATGTAACAGATCCATTTGCAACACTAAATTAATCACCAAACTGGCACACACTACCAAGTCTAATTTCTCCTGACCAATGTGAAGAAGAGATTGTGAACCAAGACTCGGTAAAATTACATGGTTATGCTAAAAGTTTGCAATTGCAGGGATGGGACAGCTAAACTATCCTTGGGAATTTCGTTCATTCAAGGGACTCAAAGAAGGCGAATGCCCATGAGATTTTCTTCAAATGGCATCCTAGGCAGATTTAAGTCACTGTATGCATGTGTGTGTGTGTGTGTGTGAGAGAGAGAGAGAGAGAGAGAGTGAGTGAAGGAGAGAGAAATTCTAGCAGATTCCTACCTGAACGTTGAAAATCCACTTTATCCTATGGATTAGTTGAGGCTGTTAAACAACCAAACTGGCATTATTTGAAAGCAGCTAAGAATTTCAGATTTCCCCATAACTAATTCAATCATAGAAATGATTACCACTTTCAGCAAGAGCTAGTCTCGACCCAAGTTCAAGGACTTGTTACAAGAAAGCTATAAAACCGCCCAGATTTTGCGTATTACAGCTAAAAAGAGGAAAAAAATATACTGTCTTCTATTTGTGTTCGGATCTCTGCTAAAACCTTCTATATGCTTTCCTCTGTTTGTACTCAAATCTCCACTAAAAAATAACGATTTGGTTCTGTTTGAACCAATGCTAAAAGAACAAAACACACAAACAGACACACACACACAGGCATTATAAGGATTCAACAGAGATAACCTAGCAAAAATAGTGGTTAAGGTAGGGCAGCAAAGTACCTTGTGACATTGCGATTAGGTCCTGGATCGACTAGAGTATCATTCTAATCTGGGCATGCTGAGCTCCCAAGTAGCCATAAAAGATCATTCTGAGCTTCAAATCAAAGTTACAGAACAGCCCAAACAACGAGGAAAGCGTTGGACTCAAATTACGACGTTGTAACCACATTTCTTCACCAATTTCCTGCGACCAACTCCTAGATCCGAACGGACAACACCTAAACCTTTTTCACCTGAAATTGGTTATACTTTGGTTAATCAAAGGCTACGAACAACCAAGAAAACAGGTTGAGAAACAGTGAAATGAGAGAGAATAAAGGCAAAAGAGCACCGGTGGAATTGCTCACTGACAGTGTGTGAAAGTAAGAGAGATAGAGAGCAATGCAGGACCCAACCCTTTTTAGGCGGGCTTAATTAATTAGCGTATGGATTTGTTCACATATGACCCCATACTAATATATTTGTTTGTTGCGTCGAGCATTTGTTGTTCATCCACGACAATTTCAAAATCAGCCCTTACTTCTTTTACAATTACACTTATACCCCTTTTTTTTTTTTTTTTTAACTTTCTCTAGATTTGTAATTGTAACATAAATTCGTATCTCACTTGAAGCAATATTCGAACTTATAATCTTGAAGTGCGTATATGACGTAAGTCTTTTCTTTCAAATTATACTGGCAAAATTTTATCATCTCAGGATCCAAATCTGTTGCTATATAGTAGAAAATGATGTTTTTAAATCATTTTGTGTATAATAATACATTGTCGTTTTAAAGAGCAACAAAGATATCAAACGCATGTAATAAAATCCTTTTAATTTGGGTTATTTCATCAATTAAGAGTCTTGAAAATAATGTTAACAATTTTGTAAAAGAAAAATAGGTCATTGCCCCAAACCTACACAATCCTTTTCACCTAATCTATTAGTTGAGTGTCTTGAAAACAACTAACAAACTTCGTATTGTTGTAATTTGACTCATTAATTTTCGGGTGGATATTTTTAGGTACTTCCAAGTTCCAACTAGTGTTCATGTGAATTCATTCAACCACTTGTTTATAAACAACTACGTAAAAACTCTAAATGATTTGAAATCTCACCTATTTCACCACTCCCTTTGATTTTTTGGATCACCAAGGTTATTCTTGTAGGCTTATAGGGATATGAATCCTATTTACTATAATTTTCCGTCAATTTCTTTTAATAGTATGCTACCCATTATGCATTGAAAAAAAAACTCCACTTATATATAGTGTGTGTTACTTGAATTTATAAGAGCGATCTGTATTGTACAATAGATCTAACCGTTTTTCACGTCCATGATGGGAACACATTACACTGCAAGACTGAATCCTTAAATTTTCAGTCTGATCATCACCACGAGACTCTATAGGTTTGCATTTACTCTCTCTGAGGTGGAGGATGAAATTGTGGTTGGCATTCAATTTTTGGGATGGCCATTCTGGTCCTTTGTTCTGGTTGGTGAGTCAATTGGCTTCTTCATGACGAAATTCAATCTTTAGAAAAAGAAATAAAAATTGAAAAAAGTACTTTTCAAGAATCTATAAGTGGTTTTGGAACACTCAGTATGACAACTTCTCATTTTTCCTTTAACCTCATTCTTTTGTGTAAATTCCCCTCTTTTTCTTTCGCTTTCATAGAAAAAGTTTGAAAGGGAAAAAGAACACTTTATTTTTTTTTCCATTGTCATGACATTGACTTTTAAAATGAATATTGCTTGGCAAGTCAATAAAGCCCAAAATAGTTCTTTCTTTACTTTGTATCCAATGACTTATGAATTATCGGTGGCTGGATGTTCAAAACACAAGAAGGGTTTGACTTTGAAACTCCCTAACAATACTATAAAGATAGACCCCTACGATCTCATTGGACTAGCCATGGATCACGTTATGACGATTTATTACCATGCATAATTAGTTTTGTGTATAAATAAATTCGTATAAATTCTTTTAAATTGATAAATTCTTTTAACATGGATTTGATAAATGACGTGTCTGCCATATTTTTAAGGTTGCACTATATTTTACACCTTGGGAAAAGGGAGGAGAGAGACGGTTCGTCTACTCTACGTTTCTATGAAGTTATTTGTAGGAACTGCATTGAAAGATGCAGCAAGACCTTTGACTAAACAAATAGTGCAACCTTAAGATGTGCCTGAATATACGATTTGTATTTTGCTAATGAAAACTGACTTTCAACTAACAGACCTCTTTTATGAAATTCATGAATGAGAAGTTCCAACACTTACCATGATGTTTTAACAAAACTTTTGCTATTTATATCAATGTTTTGTTGAAACTTACTTGGTGACTAAGCAAACAAGACAACATTATTAGAGCCTAGATCATCTACATCTCAAAGTAAAATAAAAAATACAATCACACGATACTTAAATTGATATAATCGACACATTATTGAACTGATCTAAGGTTTAATCTTTTTTCTCACTCTCTAAGAACTAGTCATTCTTGCCTTTTAAGAACATGTTTTAACACAACTCATACCACGGTGGACAATTGAGTTTAAAGGAGTAGTCGACACAAACTTAGACACATGTAACAAATTTAAAAAAAAAAAAAAACAAATCATGTTCATATGTGAAGACAACCCACCTTCTATAACACTTTGAAAACTGCTAATCAACGCATTATTGAACTGATCTTGGATCTCATATGTATTACCACATGACACAATTCAGTTTCTTACTTAGATTAATATTAAGTTCATGTTAGTTGAAGATAAAAGGTTCACAACATATCATCTCTCTCTCTCTCTCTCCCTCCCTACACACACAAACAAAACGATTACTCACTTGATCTACATAACAACTTCACCTAAAGAATTGCATGATGGCATTGGACCACAGACTTAAATAGTGACAGGTGAGAGCTTACCCACTATAGATCCGACTACCAGCATGTGATCCAGAAAATGTGAGGTGGATATGCTCTGTTTCAGTACAGTTTTAACACAATATTGCAACAGTTTAGGAAATTTTTCCATTCAAACTTTTAATAATGGTTTTAGAGTATTGTCGTGGGATTTAATATTTTGAATTTGAATTTGCAAGAGAAATGATGAATTTGATGCACAAGCTATATGATTACCAATCATTCCTTGTTTGTGTTTTTATGTTCTATTTTCTTCATGATATAAAGGCAACAAAAGCCACATGGTAGGGTCACCTGTCTTAAAAATAACTGTTTCGGCCATCTCCTCCTCCATTTTTCTATCAAACAGGTCAAGATTAGGGATACACAAATGAAGAAGTGACACAATGTAGGACCTCTTTCTTCATTTTTTTTTTGGGGGGGTTTCCTTTAGAAGTTTGTAATAAGATGTCTGTTGGTTTGGTTTGATTTGCAAATTTGGAAAACAGATAAGATTATTGTGATGAATAATCACCCTTCCTGTTAATGGATTGTGCTACGAATACATTTAACATAAATATATGAAAAAAATATTATTTGGAACTAATTTAGGGATCTAATCAACTTCAACTGTTGGATTGAAAGTAAACTACATTTAACATTAAAATTCACAACTAATTCAATGACTACATTTTAGTATAAAACTAAAATACCAAACTTTAGTATAGGTTAGTACAAGGCTAAAATACCAAACTCCATGCATGTTATGAGAACAGCTAACATTCACGGGTGAAATAAGGCTCCACCTAAATTCTGAATACATTAAGACATATAATAAAATTGAAGCACAAAAAAATGTTATGAATGGCTACCAAACTTTAAAACCAAGTTGCCTAGGAAAGGGATAAATGAAGAGAAATCAAATGTTGTCAAGAAAATTACCATAGATCTTAAATCTGTCTAATATAAGTAGAAATCAAGTAACGAAAGGAAAATTTCATTTGTAGAATGAAGAATTTAGACCAAATGAAACAAACGGACTTCAAATACTGGAAAAGGGAAGACATGAAGAAAGCAAGATGACTTGTGGTGTTACATTACACAATAAGGAAAGAAGAAAGCAGAGAAAAGAGAAGGGAAATGAAAATAATTAGAAGCCGACAAGGTGACGCGCACTCTAGCAGGCAGGCAATCATTCTTGCTAAATTTATTGTCCCTAAGAAATCTCAAAAGAATCTTCCAGGCCCCAACTTAAATATTGATGGAAACATTTCTCTACTCCAAGAAATTCCTTTCATTTTTCTATTATGTATTCTACCTAAAGCTTTGAATTGAAAAGGCTATGGTGGTTGTGCTGCCTTAAAAGTGCCTCAGCTTTGGCTCCTAGCCACCAGATTGGAATAATAATTCATTATTTTATCTTCTCATGACGTCTCTCGAGTCTCAACTTTGAAAAAAAAAACTGAGAATTTTCGTGATATGAACTCAAGAGAATAAAGGCTCAAAAGGAGGGCATTCTTATTCAGCATTTTGCTGGGGGCTTGCGTCTTTTCATTCTATTGGGTGGGAAGTATGATGAAAGCTCAGCCCGCACCACACGTTCTCAGATGGTAATAACACTTTTTCTACGGCATTAATACTTATGGATTATGAATAATTGTTGTTTGATTGCTATGTCCTTGTTTTGTGTTGGGTCTCTGTCTGGGAAGGACTTGGACTGTTGACATACCTTGCAAGACTAGAGACGTCTTGACATCCGAGATTTTTTGAGTCAAATGTTTCACACCCTCGGCTATTAGATTGGTCTATGCGGCGGGATTTAGTGCAAAAAAATCTTCACCAGAATGGTTATATCACGCAAAAATGCTACCATATGAAGAAAAAAAAAAACAAAATTATTTAAATAATTTTCCTTCCATGTAAAATAGTAGCCATAGTTCATCAAAAAAAAGATGAGATTCACCTTGTCTACTTGATTGCTAATATCATTGGACTGTTACATTACGTAATAATACTAACGTGATATAATTGTGATTTATTCATTAAGTGCAGCCGTATAACACCTGATGTGGACATCACTCTTTGAAACAGAGAAATCTCGTCGCATTTGGGAGTTAATATTAAATATATCAAACTCTCTAAAATCTCCGATAGCAAAAATCTCAAAAAAAAAAAAGGACTGCCCTTCTAGCCATTAGTTTTTAAAAAACTGGACTAATGACTAGAAGGGCAGTCCAATTTTTCAAATTTCGACTGTTGGACTTAACACTTCTCCAACATCACCCTCCTTAAAATTTCATGGCTAATGTCAGGAATGATAAGTGTTAGGAGTAGAAATCGCGTGTTCGAATCTTATCCCTGAACTCAAGAATTTTGGGTATCCATCCCTAAGGGGCTCAGGCTTATAAGGGGGTGGGAGAGACGACTCTCAGTCGATATGGGACGAAACTCCGCACGGGCACTGAGAGGTAAAAGGCTACTGGATTGCCCTAGGAAGGGGTCCAGGTTAACCAAAATCT